GGGGGGGGGGGGGGTTCAAACAAAAGCATTTCTCACTGCCCATAACCTGTTCGTGCAGTGAAGTGGGTCTTGTAATTTAAAACGTCACAGAAGAGAAAGCATCGATGCTCTGTCAGCTGGAGAAGTCGTGTTTTTGTCTTGTGAGAGTAATAAGCGCTCCCTCATCATCCTCTCCTGCACATAAACAGAGATGCACAGTGTCTCGAGCAGGACAGAGCAAACTGCATATTTAAAAAAAAAAAAAAAGCATCACTCTTTTTTTATTTTTATTTTAGACAGCTGTATATCTGAATTATTCAAAGATGTCTTATCATTCGCTCGTTTTTTTTATTATTTAATGTCCATGCATGGCTTCAGAAGTGGTGTTTTATTTCTTCTCCTTTTTTCTTCCACCATTGAAGTTCACTTTACCAAAGCCCCCGTTCATCATTTCACATCCTTAGTAAGACAAACAACCATGTCATTATCTAATTATTTTACTTCCAGCTCCACTTCCCCTTGACATGACATTGGCAGTGCATCTTGAAACTGAGTTGTTTACCTCTCTGAGCAGACTTTTCATTATTTACATGAACAAGCAGCTCACAGCCCAACAGCTACACTTTCATAATTAAACCTAAACTAGACCTTTAATTAGATGCAGACATGATAAAAAAAGTCCTGAGAATAAATGTGCCATGTTGCAAATAACTGAAATAATCTGTGCCAAACAAAACCTGAATGAAACTGTAACCAGTTCGTATTGAACAAGTGTCCGATTTGGTTTGAATATTTAAGTAAAATACTCTTTTTGTTGCTAATTGTTGCTGAATAGCTACTGTATGTGTCTTATTGTGATTTTGGCTCTGATACTGCTGCACGTTCTGGCTGGCAGAGTCATCTAACTGGAAATAAACCAAATACAGGGATTTAGAACTTCATCTATTTTAAATTAAAAAATAAATAGCACTGCAGCACTGGCAGGAGAAATAAGGGATAAATTGAATGATTAACATATAAAAGTCTGACTCATGGCTGCTACAGTTATTTATTTATTTTAAGAACTGCGTTTGTTCATTTCTTGTTCAGTTACAGTTAATCTTTAACCTCATTTAAAAAAAAAAAAATCAATGTATTGTATTGGCACAGAAATGCTAATTAACACAGGCCAACATAGAACACTGATGACTCGCCTTTTGTTGTGAAATCAGCTGCAATGAAAGTTGTATCTATAAATTGCTATCATAAAATACATTCTGACTTAATGTTCTTCTTCATCCAGCTCACAGTACATGCACATGAGGTAAATAATATGAATTTACATTCAAATGTGCTATGGGAAGGTCTTTGTGATAGTCATTAAATACGTAGAAAAATCAACATTTCAGCTAAAACTATTTCTTACGATATTTTCTCTGTTCACAGGGAAGACCTGGTATAGTCTGCTCTGGCTGGATGAAATGTTTCAGCCATGCAATGTTCCTGGAAGTCAGTAATTCTGCTGGCCTTGGCCTCCATTGCTATCCAGTACACAGCCATCCGGACACTCACCTCCAAGCCTTTCCAGCTGTGCCCGCTGCCCAGCCCCCAGAACTGTGGTCTGGGGGCTCAGGAGACAGACCCTGCCTTTGATCGAGGAGCAGCAGGTGGGGCCGGCTGCGATGATTACCCTTACTTTTCTATCAACACTACTCGTAAACTGCACATACTGGTGTTAGCCACCACACGCAGCGGCTCCTCCTTTGTTGGCCAGCTGCTGAACCAGCACCAGGAGGTATTCTACCTGTTTGAACCTCTTTATCATGTTTACGCCACGTTGGTTCCACGTCAGTCACACACCCGCAACCCTACAGACCGCCGTGTGACACTGGGAGCCAGTCGAGACCTTTTGCGCAGTCTCTACGGTTGTGACCTGTATTTCCTAGAGAATTACATCAAACCAACACCCTCCAACCACACCACGGACAAACTGTTCCGCCGTGGTGCCAGTCGAGCACTGTGCCAGCAGCCTGCATGCGATGCCTTTGTTGCAGGTGATGTAAACGTGGAGGAAGGAGACTGTGTGAGAAAATGCTCGACCTTAAACATGACTTTAGCAACAGAGGCATGCCAAGAAAAGAAGCACGTAGCAATCAAAGTTGTCCGTGTGCCAGAAATAGGAGACCTGCGTGCTCTCGTTGAAGACCCACGGCTGAATATTAAAGTCATACAGCTCGTCAGAGACCCACGTGGCATCCTGTCATCAAGGATCGAGACTTTCAGGGACCCATATCGTCTATGGCGCATTTGGAGGGCCACAGGGAGAAGGCCCTATAATCTTGACATGAACCAGCTTACTGTTATCTGTGAAGACTTTTTTGGTTCTGTCTCAACTGGTCTTAGCCATCCTCAATGGCTAAAAGGGAAATACATGTTGGTTCGATATGAGGATTTGGCTAGAAATCCACTTCTTAAGACGCAAGAAATCTATGACTTTCTTGGGCTGACTATGGATAAAAATGTGAAACACTGGATACGTGCAAACACTCGCGGAAGCAATGAACCTTCAGCAAAACACAAGTTTGGAACAGTGAGGGACTCCGCTGCAAACGCAGAGAGCTGGCGTTTAAAACTGTCTTTTGACATTGTAGAATCCACACAAACAGTGTGTCAAAAAGTCCTCAAGCAGCTGGGATACAAGGCTGTGCGATCAGTCGAGGAGCTTAGAAACATGTCCTTCTCACTAGTACAGGATAAACTGTTTGTACCTTTTTTGTAACAAAGATAGTTCTCTAAAAAACATATTTTTGATATATTTATAATTGCTGCCTTATAAGTTACACACTTTGTTTCATTTCTGTGGGTTTGTTTCTTGGAATTTGCACTAAACTTCAAATGTGTTTGTATGCACCGTTTGAAGTATGGATGAGTCTCCAGTGATACCGAACAAAACGTTTTAAACATCAGTATTCAAGTGTCCAAACAAGCTGCTTTGCAGAAGCCAAATTAGTTTTCCGTGAATAGAATCAATTCAAGGCACTGTCTTCATTAATTTCCTGTGTGAGAAGTGTGATTTCAGCAAAAGCAACGAGGCTGGGAGATGCTCCATACGGCAGACACGTTTGTGTTTTCAGGCCTGCTATGGTAAATTTCAACTGTACATCTACTGTGCAATAAATAGTGAATGTCGCAGTCAACCTTTACCACTGTGGCATTTTTATCCATGTGGGATAAGGGGAGATACTTCTGACAGATGCCATGCTTGCAAAGGATAATTGCAGACAATTAATAGGCTCTCAAGTGAAAGGGACAGAATCCTATTGGAGGTCACAAGCTTTTCATCAGAGGATGTACAACCATCTGTGACAGACAAACACGCACACTAATGAGAGGTAATGTTCTTTTATTTTGTTGAGAAAATGCATATTTTTTTTCTAAAGGATCACCAATTTTTCAAAGATAAAAACTAGACGAAATAGGTTCTTAAATAAATAAGACCTGAAGCACTAAGAGATGTTTTCCTTCTTTTATTTATAACTTTGATGCAAATGGTTAATTTAAATTCATCTGTGTGTGCGTGTGCGTGTGTGTGAAAATCATTACACTATTTGAAGCCTTGGGTTACTATTAGCACTTTTATTCACTTGTCATTTAGAGTAATGAGTAAAAACGTAAAGAATGTCCGTGTTTTTATGTCATCTCAAAAGCATGTAGTTGGTGAAAAGTGACACGGCAGAGCAAATAGTTCCTATGCATTCTTCTTCAAACAAAAAGCACAACTATTTAGATGGAGTGTGTTGCATTTTCCTGTTTATCTCTCAGATCAAAGATTCATTACAGAGAAGGGTATGTCTTTGTGGAACAGGTTGTACTGCAGATTCCATTCATTTCCCAGGATGCGTGCATGACTCACACATAGCAACACAGCCACATTTCCAAAGTATATCTACATTTGATCATATACAAAGAGTATTACACTAATGGTTGCCCATAATCTGGGACAAATCCTGTGATCATCAACACAGCTGATGGCCTGTTTTAGCCAAGAAATGTTAATGGTACAAGCTCAAGGCTGAAATAGAGGACACCGCAGTTACATAAATGAGTGTGTCAGTCTTTTCCTGCAGCTTCTTAAAAACTCTGGACAGTCGCCAAAGCTTTGGACGGAACATGATTTAAACACAGGCATTTAATTTAATTTCACGTCATGTTTCTAAGCTGAAGCACAGCGTAGGATAAAATTAATTGGCAGTTATCTCGTGTAAATTTAACCACATTACGAGCTGTTTAATCTTGATGGGAGTTTTCAATCATTACTGCTGCAAAAATAAACACGGATTTTTACACCCATGACTGGTACAAACAGCTCTGTTCACTTCCTGCGGTTGGTTCGGATTTTAAGTCATGTTTGCTTGTTTAAGGATTGGGTAGTTTGGCCAAACTGCCTCCCTGGTTATTTCCTAAAAATACAGTGATCATTTCATGCTGTGCCATGCAATTTTAAATCTCTGTTACTGTGGAGGCTGAGGATGAATGTCAGCTTGGACTACATGGCACATAAGCTAACAATGGCTTGTGCACAAATGCAGCTGCACCTATAAAACGCAAAATAAACACATTTCAGAGCGATATTGGTAATGCACTGAATTCATTATGAAGAACTTTAACACGTGCACTGCACACACAGCAACAAGGCAGGTTATTTTAAACCATGAGGATTATTGCTGCCTCCCCCTACACTCCAATGATAATTTCAATCTTACTTCCAAAGCAAGAAGTGTTTAAAAAGTAATCGTCATAAAAGTCTGATTCTAGTCCTCAATATTGATATGTTCTAAAATGTACCTTTTTACTTCCAATAATCTCTGTGAGGCGCAGTGGTCCAGTCACGGTGCCCATTTATTTGCACACAATAACCACTTGTTTCCCCATAAGATATAAACCCTGTGAAAGGAGCATCTCACGCTCGGGCTCATCAGTATTGGTGACCGGATGTCCATTGAGATGCAGAGCACAAACCTTTGATCCTCCTCTGTTCCGAGACTGGAGGCAAACTCACCCTCTTTCTTTCTGTCAGTGCTCTTTCTGTCATCCACCTCTTTCTTTTTTTTCTTTCTTTGTTTCTTTCCTTGCAGAAATCTCAGGGCATTGTTCCTGTGCGTCACTGCTCACTCCAGGTTTTTTTTTTTTCCTTGGAAAAATACAGAATGTGTTTATCTCCGTTTCAAACTTGATACAAAAAAAAAAAAAGGAAAGAAATTGAGCGGTTGGAAAGTTGAACATTTGTGTCTTGATATGTTTTTTGCTTTGGGCGACTAAAGGAATGTACGGTTTTCAAGATAAGTATTAATTCTGTTAAAGCACAAAGATGAGATTATTGCAGCTTGCATGACTTTTTAATGTTATCAGCTGATCATTTTTGGTTGAGGTGCAAAACATTAGGTCTTATTTTGATTTTGTTGATGGTAACAAAACACACGTATAACAACTTAAAAATATACTCATTCACTTGTTACATGTAAATAATTTGGTACCACTTTATAACAGATTATTTATAGAATTACAGTTATTTATAACATACTTTATAAATCATTAATAACTGCTTATTAGGAATTAATTAAGGGTGATAGAGACACAAAACTATGGTGGCCCTGAGGTGTAAATGAACAACATTTGAAAAAACAGAATTATATTAAACCAAATCTGGTGGGATTTATTTTTATTTTTGTGGTGTTTTTTTTTTTTTTTACTTTACTATCAATATAAAACAGAACAACAGAATAATGTACACTACACACATTACAAAGTTACAGTTAACAGACTAGGCTTTATTAATGCAGCGCCAGTAAAACTAAAATGTAAAACTAAAATGTAAAACTAAAATGTAAAACTAAAATGTAAAATTAAAATATAAAACTAAAATGTATCATCAACAAAACTTAAATTACCTTGAAGATCCTGCCAAGTTTTTTCCAGCATCATATCTTCGTCTTTAAGCTTGACCAAAACATGACTCTCTATTTTTACAGGCTAAAGGCTAGCCCTGCTAACCACACGTCTGTTGTGTTTGTGTACTGTACATTGTTCTGTTGTTCTGCTTTATGTTGTCAATAAAGTTTTTTTTTTTAAATACACACACATAAAAAAAAACACCCACCACTTCTGGTTTGCTAATTCTGTTTTTTTTTTCAAATGTGATTCCGTCCACTTCCACTTCGGCCACTTCCGTTTGGTTTAATGTAATTCTGTTTTTTCAAATGTTGTTCATTTACGCCTTAGGGCCACTGTATAAAATTAACATTTCTTGACAAACAGTGAGCCAAATCAAATTAATTAATTAATTAATTAATTAAATTAAATATAGTTCATCTATATATTTCATCTAGAGTTGTATTAAACATTTCAGACTAAGTTACTACCTTGTAAGCACAATAAGTATTTGTAAACTTATTTTGTAGGATATAATATTAGTTTGAGATTCTTATAACGCAGAGATTAAGTACATTATATGCTAAAAAAGTAGGTTTACAAATGCTTATTGTGCTAACAATGTAGTAACTTAGTCTGAAAGGTTTAATTTAACAAGTCTAGATGAAACATATAGGTGAATAGATGTGGCTCATTATTTGGCAAGAAACTAGTCAGTTTAGTCTCTGTCACCCTTAATTAATGCACAATAAGCTGTTATTAGTGATTTATAAAGTGTTTTTAGAGGAATTAATAACATACCTATAAATGATTTATTAGCCATCTATAAGGGGAGCCTTATTGTAAAGTGGTACCACTGATTGTGTGAGCAGCAGGTGTATGTATGGGATTTATTTTCAATTTCTTAGGAATAAGTCTTCCTGCATTCTTAGCTCTTTATTCCAAGTCGTAGGGCCACCACTATCCTGGAACAAGCTCATATCCTCTAATCTAACTTAGTTTGCCAGACAGATAGAAAGTGAATCAGCACTATCCCTCTTTACAACCATTAAACAAGCATTGATCATCAAAGGCTTGTGAACTGAACTGTAGCAGTTCATCTTTTTTTCTTGCTGCCAGTAAATATTTCTTAATAGGCTTCAATGGATTTGACAGCACAGCATTTGGAAGCTTGAATGTATTTTGATGTCTTTTACTTTTCGTCTGACAGGGGAACTTACATCATTTGACACTAAAGTTTTGACAGTGAGCAATATGTAGCAAAACCTAAACATCTGATTATTATTGTTTGTATATTTTTTTTCTGGACACTAAGTGTGTGCCAGTAATGCTGCATTTTGATGCCTGACCCTTGCACAAAGTCTGCTTCTCATGCGTCAGTATGTTGGAGTGTATATGAGCTCTCGCTGTGCCCTCATGTTGTTGATTCTGTCCCAGGGCTGAACATATGGCTCACTGGAAATAAAATGACAGACCATCCCTTTCTCTTCTTCATTCTCTTCTCTAAATGTGACCTTAATAATCTGACCCTGCGTGACAATGCAGATAGATATCAGCTTCTTTGTGCTGCTGTTTACTAAAACTGCGCTGACAGATTATGTCCCTCTAGCTAGTTAAAAATTGAGCACAACCTGCTAAAACAAATAATTAGAAACTGTGCAAGATTAATTTGGTGATAATGTAAATTGTGTGAGATCTTAGATATAACGAATCCCTGGTGTGTTTCTTTTTGTGTGTTTGTCTAAGAGTTTCTGCTGAACGGGACTTAATCTAGGTATGAAGTGGAATATTCGCTGTGAATCATGTGCATTGTGTTGCTTACACGTGTCACTGTCACTGACGTGGATGTGCATGTCTGTGCTCTGAATAGCAAATGTCACCTGTGTACCCTCAACAG